GTTTTTTTTTTTTGTGGTGGTGGTGGGGGTGGGGGTAGTGAATAATAATAGATCAACATGAGCCTTCGGAACAATACTGATCAATAACGATGATGTAGATGATACGAGCATAACCATCAGCCAGATGATGGATGGAGATTAAGAAGGGTTGACAAAACGTTTTACACAGTCCCCGAGCAATATAAAGCGAAATGTCACATCTATAACTACAGAAAATATATTTCAATTTAATATAGAAAAAATGTTAATATATGTTGCGCAAACGATTAATGCATTAATACAATCGATAAATAACCCTTGAAAAATAACTACAACGATACCAAAATACACAAGATAAATAAGCATAATTGCAATTTTTCAAATCCTAAGTAAATGTAAGTTTACAAATAAAAATGAACACGAAAGTACACTATACCAGTTATAAATTGGCCAATCAAGTAAACAATTCCTCCTTAAATCACATACGAATAGAATTCTTTTCGACTTGTCTTAATGTTTCTGCATCTATCGGCATTTGTGTTGATGTCCGTGTGCGTGAGTGTTTCTCTGCGTGTGTTATTGGGCAACACGCGTGGACTAGCCGTTCTCTTTTGACCTAAATAATCCACCCGTAATTCTGCGTCGCATGGGGTTTCATTATTGATACATAAAGAAGTTGAAATGTGGTTTTGATATTTATCTTATCTAATGGGTTGCTCTTCGTGATCTCTTGCGTACTGAGTTTATTTAGAGATGCATCTAGGCTGATGATCCAAATTATAAAGTGAGGTACAATGCCCAGGGATCCATATTTGATTTCAGACGGCTTAGGATTTTTGTGTAGCCTATTATTGTCATCAAAATCATTACCTCAAATAATCGATATTCACCAAAGCAGTCACATTATGTAGAATAGATTGCCAATTTCTTGTCATCATTATCTAAAAATAAAGTGATCATGCTTTATCATCATCATCATCATCACCAGCTGTTCTCCGACAGTGGGGTGCAAGGTCAGGGAAAAAATTGCCGGGGAGACGAAAAAGTTTTACAGACTGAAACCCAAAAATCGATTAGATTTAGTGGCGCCAAGGTCCTCGGCTGGGGCGGAGGGGAGGTGGAGGGGAGGGGGGCTTGACTGAATTCCACGACGAGACCATAGTGGGTGTTATTTTATTGTCCAGTGCGCTAAGCGGATTTTGGAGTTTAAAAGATTTATTTAATCGATTTAGAGTCTACTAATGTAGAAAATACATATATTTCTTTTTTATTACGGACGAGCCAACTCTCCCCGCCTAGAAGGAGGAGTCTGGCCCCAGGCCTCATATCCGCTGGCGCCACCCCTGATTAGATAAGCCTTTGTTTTTCAAAACCAGAAATTCTGATTGGCCTATGGTGCATCCCGCTAACGTTCCCATCGTTCGGTCCCCTGCTGGGAAATCTCCTCGCTACACTATGGCACTAAGCACAACCACCACCACCATAGCCTACAACCACCTAAAATCTTCATCATCATCATCCTATCATCATCATCGTCGACCCATCTATCACCGTGCTCTCTATAAAGAATAGGCATAAGGCCTATTACCATTGGTCTGAACATCGCGGATCGTCTGATGCTAATACCAATGCACTGATCCCAAATGTTTACAGTTGAACTGGGTAAAATATGGCTTCATGCCAATCTCCGAAGATGGTTGTGTTTGATTTATGACCACGAATGGTGTACAGGGTCGTAGAAATATTGCTAATTACTACAAGCAATCGGTTCTTGCTAAAGTGTACTTGAATAAAAAAAAATGGATAGGCCTAACTATTAATAACATTTAACAGTAATAATAATAATAATAATAATAATAATAATAATAATAATAATAACAATAATAGGCCTATCAGGTGTTCC